CTCAGATTGGTTTGAGGGTATGCTGATGGATCAGCGTGCCCCTGCCAACCAGGTGTCCAAATCAGCGTTGGTGGTTTTCAATATACTGATCCTGTCAGGGTAAAATTTTCCACTGTACTGATCCTTCAGTGTAAAAAAGTCCAAAATAAATATACCTAACCTAACCTACCTAACTAGTACTACTAGAGAACTAGCTCATGTCATCATCTGAAGAAGAAACGCTACTGCTACTGCTGCCATCATCATCACTCTCACTGTCATCGCCTGCAGAACCACTCATGCCCTCATCTAGCTCCTCCTCCACCTGCACCAGGCGGCGGCCACTCCCCTTAACAAACTTGGCCTTGGCCCGCTCCTTCTCTGGCGCAGCTTGCTCCTTGCGCTTGCTGGGGCGCCTGTTCCTGGTACTCCGCCAGATGTCCACCACCTTGTCCCAGTCCATGTCATAGTCGAGCAGCGACATCGCCATCAAATCTCCCAGCTTGGCGTTGCAGAGACTCGTCCGGCGCCACGACTTTATCACATTCTGGCGGGAAAACCCGCGCTCGCACTCGACTGTGCTGAGCGGCAGTACAGCGACGGCAGCCCACAGACGGACTAGGTTGGGGTAGCTGGTTTGCCAGTCGCTGGTCTGCAAAATGGCCTTCAAGCCTGCGTGAAAGGGCTGCTCTTCCTTGGGCGCAGTGGAGAGCACCGGCAGGAACGTGCGCAGCTCCGCTCGAGCTGCACGCTTCTGGACACCTGCCAAACAGGAGAGCCCAACCGGGTAGAAAGTCAAGCTCTCAACATGGCAATAACGCAACCACGGAAACGGCTACGCATACACGCAGAGCATAGGGGTTCCGTCTCTAGCTCACCTGGCAAGATCGTGTCCCGGTTCTTGGCCTGGAACAGATGGACGAGGCCGTGCAGGTGCTCCTTGCACTCGGCGTCTCTAGCCTCGGCGCCCCTCGGCCACGAGCGGGGCATGAAGAGCTTCGCCCCGTTCAAGCGCGTCAGGTCTCCCAAGCGCAGCTCGAGGTTGTACACCAGCTCGCGGGCGAAGGAGCGGCAGCAGGTGTAGCAGCCTTGCATGTCCCCGCTGCTGGTGGTGTATCCCTTCACGGCCTCCTCGTGCAGGTCGAACTTGTGTACCCGGGCCTCACCATCCTTGTCCACCCCCTCCACAGTCACTTCACGGCAGTCCGGGGAGGCGTGCCGCGCGAGGAATGCAGACAGCAGCTCGCTGGTCCCACCGCCAAACTGCTGGCCACAGTGCAGGTACCGCTGCTCCATGTAAATGATGGTCCGCCTCACCTGGGAGTGCACTGCAGTGAGGTCAACCTGTTGGTAGGGGGAGAGTAGGTACACCGAAACAAAAGATAAGTAACTGGGTTTAGAAGATGAGAAAAGCACTACGTAACTCAACACCTCACCTGACGCTTCTGGAATAGCAAGTTGAGCGCGTTGAGTGCCGTGTGCACATCTGCCAAGAAGAACAGAAAAAAATGAAACTTGAACGACGTCACCAACTGGTACATCGTCTTGTCCGTCTCCTCGAGCATGACGATGACCGCAGGGAAAACGCGGACGAATCGGGCGATAGCATCGCCCCGACTCAACCAGCGGACCGAGTGGATCCCCTGGACCTCGAGGTTGGTGTGCGTGAACACCTCCTGCAGCTCCTTGAACTTGCGGTTGTAGTTGCTGGATCTGCCTAGATCTTCCGCCAATGCGAGGATGACCGCGTCAATGATGCCAAGCTCGGGCAGTGCCTTAGCCGCCTCCTTTGCAGCAAGCGCCTCCCTGCCACGGGTAGGAAAGCACAGGTGGGGGTGTTAGAATTCGCACTGCCACGTTGCACATTTCACACTGCTACAACACCACCACAGCATCAGCTTACCTGTGTGCGATGCAGTGACAAGCCACCACGTGCGGGATCTCCAGGCGAAGGCGCCCAACGAGGCCCGTGTCGTTGCCTATCATCACAGGTGCCCCATCGGTGCTGATACCCGCAACCTTCTCCAGCGGGAGGTTGATACTGTCAAGGAATTCCGTGAGCTTAGAAAAAAGAGAAGCTGCATCACACTTCTCGATGGAGAGGTTAGTTAGGAGCTCTGTGGTGACGGCGTGCTCACGTAGAAAGGTTGCAAACACAATCATGTGCTTGCCTTTGACGCGGTCCGTACTCTCGTCGCAGGTCAGGCCAATAAATGGACTCGAGCTGATGAATTCTCTCTGGCGCGCACGAAGGTATGTCACTATTGCGGCGGTTATCTCCTCGAATCCGTACCTGCACGGGCATCAACGGGTGGGGTCAGAGATAGCTGCAAGTACATCACAACCCGCTGCCAGTTGAACAAGAGCAGTGTCACTTACGTCGTATAGTACGCACCATAACTGTTCTTTGGGAAGCCCGGGCTGCCACGCTGCGCCAGGTGTTGGACGAGGTCCACGTACATCTCGATCGGGGCGTCGGACTTAGCGATGAAGAGCGCCGTCTGAAACAGCGCGAGCAGGCGCTCCTTCTCCACGTCTTTCACATTCGGGTTGTCGTCAATACGGGCATGTGCTTTGAGAGCCGCCTCGGCTGTCTTCTGTCTGCGCACAGCGCGGCGGTGCTTCCTTGTGCGCTGATGCTTCCGCATCGCCTGAGTCTGAACATCGGTCGCCCCTTCTCCTTTGGCGCCGAAGTTCGTCCCCGTACCGGCGTGCGCAATGCAGACCTTGCACTTAATTGACGGGAACCCTGCTTTATTCTGCAGCAGTACAAGCCACGGGTAGTCGTCAGACCATTGTTTGTTAAACATAGCTAAAGCCTCTTGGTATTTCTCCTCGGCAATGTCGGGCAGTTCTGTATCGGAAGACACCTCAACCGCTTTCCCCTTCATTTTACGCTGACGGGCCTTCGGGGAAGAGTTACCCACACCGGACGTTGGTGTAGCTTGACTGGAACCCCACCCGATCTTGGTCTGGTGGTACCTCACTTTAATACCCCTTTTAAGACGAGGACCTTGCCGAGTAGTTCCGGCAGCGACAGGTTGACGGTTCCGTGTGGGTTTGGGAGCGGCAGGTGTAGATCCGACAGCGTCAGGAGTTGATGCGGCAGCGACAGGCGTTGATGCGGCAGCGACAGGCGTTGATGCGGCAGCGACACGAGTTGATGCAGCAGCGACAGGAGGTGAAGCGGCAGCGCCTACATGCGTCGAACACTCGCCCTGCGTCCAGATGGTAGGTGCCTCGGGGCCAGTGGAAGGGAACGGCACGGCTTGAGCTGACGGCGGGACTAACGCGGGAGCAGCGTGAACGCGTCGTAAAAAGTCTAAGCCAGTAATAGCGGCTGGCCTCGTGCCTGCGACGGGCGGAGGGCCGTCACCTGCGGGCGTCGAAACCGCCATGGCTGCTCAGCGCTGCAGAGCATGCCGAGCTTGAGGGAGAAGCTACTCCTGCTTCAGCTCGAACATCACTTCGTGCAGGGGTTCACGAGGAGTGCAGGAACAGAATGAGGGAGCAGATGGGGGTACCCCCTCTCCCGAGCTGCGATGACGAGGGATCTTGGTCCAGGCCAGGGTTTCCGTCTTCCCAGGCAAGATGACAACACCCCCACTCCACTCTGCCATCCATGGCGTGTTGGCGTGGACCCTGCCACCAGTGGTGTGTTGTCTGTGTTCTCATTGGGCAGTTGTGAACTAGGTTAGCCGTTCTCTGGTATTCTGGCTTCCAGCGCGGCAAAACGGTTCGGCGCGCACTAGCTGTAAATACAGCGCATGTGAGAAGATTCCAAGTGTGTGTGGGGTTTCGTGAATCACGCGAAGGAACAGCCTGTACACGCGTCGCCCCCCCCCCCCCCCCCCCCCCCCCCCCCCCCCTTTCCCCCGGCCGGTCAAATCCGTTTCAGGGTGACGCACTGAAGTATACTGATTCCTCAGTGTAACTCGTTCAGAAACACACAAAACCGTCAGTGTGGCAAACTCACATTTACTGAAATTTCAGCCCAAAATGGAAGCATTTACTGATTTTCCAGGGAAAACGAAATTCAGAGCTACAAAATCAGCGTAATCAGCGTGTTTTACGCTGACATCTGAGTGCGGTGACCGCACTGAAATCCTGCTGAAAGCATAAAAAACTTTCAGCACCATCTTAAAATCCTCTCAAATTCGATCCTGCGCAGGACCAATCGCAGGATGGTGCTAGAGGTGCCATGTCCTAATGTGACAGACTTGTGTGTTGAGCATTCCCTTCTTCTCGCCCGCCCACCCACCCGCCAGACCACTAGCTGAGGCTGATGCTCTTTCCAAGTGTAGGAAAGTGCGTATTGGGCTGATTGGTTCAGGCGAGTCAGGAATATGATTCACAGCAATGGTAGTGAGGATGACGCTAAGGAGAGTAAAACCGTACTCAAAGGCTTGAAGTTCACAAAGTCACCATCTACGGTAATCCGTCATAATGGTCAAGGCCAGCTTCACAGCGACATATGAAACCGCTATTGTGCATATACAAGCGTAACAGCAAAAGCTTGAAACAAAATAGCTTGCGTACTGATACTGGGCTGAGATTGCGAGCAGAGGGCTTGCATACAGAGAGGGGAGCAGAGCAGGAGGAGTGGAGAGAGAGCAAGCGATGGGTGGGCATAGCAGGACCATGGCAACACAGGTGGAATGTACATGGTCAGGAAGCTGCAGAGGAAGTGAGATGAAATTAGATGGTGAACCATGTTGCCATAGTTTATGCTGCTGTGAACAACGAAGCCTCTGCTGAGGATAGGTGAGGTTGATGCACAGAGCTATAGAGACAAGCAAGGGAATGGAGTAGGTGAGGGGGAACAAGGAGGGGGAGAGCTGTGGTGGAAAGTGAGGAGGCGAATGCTCCAGTTGCACAGGTGCGAAGCAGTTAAGTCAAGAAGAGCACGGCCACCGGCGGCTGTGCGTGGATGATTCTTGAGCGGGTAAGTGAGTTGATTCAGTTTGGCGTGTTGTGTTGGTGATCGAGAACGAGATCAGGTGGTTGCAGCGTTGGCGTCGCTAGGAGGTTGAAGAGTTGGCATCGTGGTTGAAAAGAAATGAAGGGAAGGATGCGGCGATGTTCCTGTGCAGCGAGGAGAGGGAGGGAGGGAGGGAGGGAGGGAGGAAGGGAGGTGAAGGGAGGGGCAAACACACACATTTCATTACATGTGTGCATGTGGATTGGAGAAGACAGGAACCATATCAAGGTAAACCCGCATCTAACACACACACATGTATATTCATGGTGCACACGAAAGCACTCTGATGCAAACCCAGAGCCACACCCAAATGCAGACCGAAGCCCAAACCCAGGACTGAGGCAGAAGCAGAGGCAGAGGCAGAGGCAGAGGCAGAGGCGGAGGCAGAGGCACTGACGTGAGGTAAGGCAGGGTCATGTTCTTCAGCAGCGAGGGGTGTCGCTCCACCAGCACCCGCCACTCCTCCTGGTCTATCTTCCCATCGTGGTTCTGATCCGCCTCCTCAAATGTCTGTGCGCCCCCCCACCCCCACCCACCCACCCACCCACACACACACAATGGCCGCATGGGAGGAAAAGTTTTTTTGAGGCACCTAAACAACCATTACACCAGCACCCGCCACTCCTCCTGGTCTACCTTCCCATGGTGATTCTGATCCGCCTCCTCAAACGTCTGTGCGCCCCACTCCGCGCACACAAGCGCCGCATCTGGGTGGGAAAGGGACGGGGAGAGAGAACAGAGGCAAAGAAACAGATTTGCTGCCACTGTACGGATTTGCAGCAGCGTGTTTCGGCCAGCATCCTCAAAGGTCCGCACTGGACAGGTGGTATGGGAAAAGAGAAACGGAGTCATTTTCAGGTCAATGAAACTCCATTACCCAGAGATCAGGGTGCACAGATTGCATGAAAAGACTGGAGAAGAACAGACCGGCAACATGGTTCCGGTGTTGCTGGTCTGTTCTCCTCCTTGGACATCTATTTCACCCTGAACTCAACCTGCTAGAACCTGCTCTTGCCTGTTGTATGAGAGGTTGCCACCCACTCAGCAGCAGGAAAGTCAACATCCTTACAGCAGCGTCAGCCTCACCTTGTGTAGGATCCGCTGGAGCATGTCTCTAGACAGAGGGCTCTAGACAGAGGGCTCTAGACAGAGGGCTCTAGACATGAAGCGACATTTGAGTTGACTTACAAGTCACATCCTTACAGCAGCGCCAGCCTCAACTTGCCTAGGATCTGCTCTAGCATGTCGTGTGAGAGGTTGTGTACCCAGCAGCTCAGCTGTGAGGTCAGTCAGTCACCCCCCATGCCTTGAGGCGCGCTCACCTTGTCTAGGATCTGCTCTAGCATGTCATCTGAGAGGTTGAAGCTGGATTCCGATAGCAGCGCCTCTAGCATCTGCTTCACCTGCTCGCAGCTCCCACACAGCAGGGGGAGCAAGGGGAGAAGCGGGAGAGAAGAGGCAGGAGATTGAGGCAAGGTTGTGTGAGAGGTTGCAGCTGAACTCGCATAGCAGCGCCTCTAGCATCTGCTTCACTTCACCTGCTTGCATCCAAGTCACAGCAAGGGAGAGAAGGGGGAGAGAGTAGGGGAGAAGTGGAAGGAAGCGCGGTTCAAGGAAGGTGGTCTAAGAGATTGCAGCTGGACTCGCATAGCAGCGCCTCTAGCATCTGCTTCACTTCACCTGCTTGCATCCAAGTCACAGCAAGGGAGAGAAGGGGGAGAGAGTAGGGGAGAAGTGGAAGGAAGCGCGGTTCAAGGAAGGTGGTCTAAGAGATTGCAGCTGGACTCGCATAGCAGCGCCTCTAGCATCTGCTTCACTTCACCTGCTTGCATCCAAGTCACAGCAAGGGAGAGAAGGGGGAGAGAGTAGGGGAGAAGTGGAAGGAAGCGCGGTTCAAGGAAGGTGGTCTAAGAGATTGCAGCTGGACTCGCATAGCAGCGCCTCTAGCATCTGCTTCACTTCACCTGCTTGCATCCAAGTCACAGCAAGGGAGAGAAGGGGGAGAGAGTAGGGGAGAAGTGGAAGGAAGCGCGGTTCAAGGAAGGTGGTCTAAGAGATTGCAGCTGGACTCGCATAGCAGCGCCTCTAGCATCTGCTTCACTTCACCTGCTTGCATCCAAGTCACAGCAAGGGAGAGAAGGGGGAGAGAGTAGGGGAGAAGTGGAAGGAAGCGCGGTTCAAGGAAGGTGGTCTAAGAGATTGCAGCTGGACTCGCATAGCAGCGCCTCTAGCATCTGCTTCACTTCACCTGCTTGCATCCAAGTCACAGCAAGGGAGAGAAGGGGGAGAGAGTAGGGGAGAAGTGGAAGGAAGCGCGGTTCAAGGAAGGTGGTCTAAGAGATTGCAGCTGGACTCGCATAGCAGTGCCTCTAGCATCTGCTTCACCTGGGTTGCTCGCAGCCAGCACAGTTTGGAAGGGGAAGGGGGAAGGAGGTTATTGGGGAGGTAGTGAGTGGTGATTTCCAGGGGGAAGAAGGGGAAGAAGGGGAAGAAGGGGAAGGAGGAGTGTGGGGAGGCGGTGGGGTTGAGATTCGACAATGGTAGCATTCGCTTCTAGCATCTGCTTCACGAAACGACTTTTGAGTCAATTCAAGAGTCAAGTCATCGCTTTGGTTGCAGTCGCTCCCATCAGGAGCCTCACGAAATGGGTGATGCTAGGGCAGGTGGAGTGAGAGCGGCAGGAATGTGGGGTCCAATAGGCAAATGGTGGTGGTGCAAATGCGTTGCTTGCGGTGGGTGCAAGGAAGAGAAGGTACGTGAGATTGCACATGAGTGGTGGGTACCGGTGCATACATGACGTGGGAATGGCATGGGCATGGGCATGGGCATGGGCATGGGCATGTGCATGTGCATGGGCATGGGCATGTGCATGTGCATGGGCATGGGCACGGGCATGGACATGTGCATGTGCATGGGATTGTGCACGTGCATAAGTTGGGCATGGGCACAACAAGGCAACGTACCTCTTCTCTCTCAATGAATCCAGTGCACCGCAGGTCATAGAGACGGAAGGCAACTGGTGTATGCAGCACATATGGGAGAGAGGCGACGGGAGGGAACACGGAGGGGAGGGCGATGGGATAGTAAGTGGGCAAGAATGAGAGCAGAGCACACCAAAGAGAGAGGCGAGGGGAGGGATGAAGGGAGTGGGGTAGAGCAGTAGATGAGTGGTCGAGAAATCGAGCAGAGCAGAACAAGCACGGCTCGGGAACAGAACCAAAAGAGCACTTGATTCTGTGCTGCTCTGCGTGTATGCATGCGTGTGCGTGCGTGTGCATTGCGTGTGTATGCATGCGTGTGCGTGCGTGTGCGTGTGTGGGCGTGCGTGTGCATTGCGTGTGTATGCATGCGTGTGCGTGTCTGCAATTGTGCGGTCCACTCCACAGGAGGATGGGGTTGAATTGAATAGGTGATGAACCCGTGAATTGGGGTTGAGTGGCAAGGAGGGACTGACAGGCGATTTTATCAGGGGTGGGAGCACGGGGATGGAAGACGCTGAGTGAGCGCACAAACTCCCCGAACTCAATCACACCATTGCGCTTCACGTCAAATAAATCAAACACCTGTGCAGGGGGAGGAAGAGGGGGGTGGGGTGGGGTGGGGTGGGAGCAGGTGCTAGAAGAAGTGTTTCAAGACGTCTCAAAACTCCCCAAACTCGATCACACCATTGCGCTTCACGTCAAATAAATCAAACACCTGTACAACGTGGGCGCGGAGGGGGGGAGGGAGAGATGTGCGCATGTACATGCATGCATGCATGAAACACAAGCATGCAAATGCACGAAAACATACATGCACACAAATGTGCGCATGCCCGCACAGATGTGCACACACGCACGGCACATGCACACACATGCACACATGCATACATGCACACAAATGTGCACATGCCCGCACAGATGTGCACACGCGCACGGCACATGCACACACATGCACACATACATACATGCACACAATGCACACACACACACAGACACATGCACACATGAACCCATACACCCACTCAAACTTACACAAAACACACAAATGGGTAAAGTGCAAGAATAGCCTTCTTGAAGATGCTGCAGTGAGCGAGATGCTTGATTTGATGCATGCTTCAATGCTCCACGTTCAGTATCCATTGATATGCCAAATGCTTAAGGTGCCCCAAACCCCCCTCCCTCCCCCCCCACAGCCCTCAAGCACCCCTCCACCTTATTCCAGACTTTCTCCGTTCCAGACCACCCTTCCCATTCCTTTCACACCCCGCGTTTTCTACTAGCCTCCCCCAAGGCCACCGCTTAACCTGTTTTGAGACGTCTCAAAACCTTTTTACTATCCTTCCCCAGAACCACCGCTGAACCTGTCCCATTATTGAAAAGCGTCAAAAGTGATCCAAGCATAGCCCGGCCTGGCGTTCTTGAGTCAAGAATCTTGACTATCACCCCCTTCCCCTCCCGGCACGGCACCACCGCCACTCACCCTATCTGCAAACAAGTTCTCCCTCTCGCTGTTGTCGAACAGCGCTAGCTGAAACTCCTCCTGCCGTGCACAGCGCACACCATGCATGCACCGCGTTTCCATGCGCACGCACACGTGGCCGCACATGCAGAACAGGCACACACGCAGAGCAGGCACACACGCAGAACAGGCACACAAAAAGACAACACATGAAGTGCCGGCTGACGAGGGAGGATAAGCGGGGGCCAGGGGCAGGGAAACAGGGTAAAGGCCATCGACGGGGAGGGCAAGGGTAGCAGGGTTGCCGGAAGGGCCTAATTAGCCCGGGCGAAGAGCAAAGAGCGAGCCGGGTAAAAGGCGTGACATGATTCGGCAAAGAGCTCGACAGCTCGACAGCTCGACACTGAGTAAGATGTGATGTGCTACCTTGTGAATAAGCCCGTCGTCGATTAGCGAGCTGCTTATCCGCTTGAACAGCTCGTACAGCGACTCCACCTCGCTCTCGCTAACTGCGCACGCACACGCAGGGCACGTGTCGGCACGTGTGAGCGCGTGTGAGGGAATGCGGGCACGTGTGGGCATGTGCGGGCACTGTCCGCGCGCGTGGAAACGTGGAAGCACGAGTGACGAGTATGAGCACACGATCTTTTTGAGCTCACAAGTTGGAGTTAAATAAGTATTCAACGGAGGCGACAGAAGATGGGAGCTGAGAGAATGGAGGAGGGGGCGGAGAGAAGTGCGCGGAGAGAAGCGGCGCGGAGAGAAGTCGACGAGCAAGAAGAAGAAACATGCGTCAACGACAAGAGAAGAAAAAAGAAAGAAAGCAAATGTAATGCAGCAGAACGCACACGCGGTCTCCCGAGCCAGCACGGCGGGGTCCTCGTATCCGGGAGGCGGCTTGTTGGGCACGGACTGGAAGCACCCCATTAGCTCGCAGCACCCGGCGAACCACCCCACCGCATGCGGTGCCGTTATTCCCCACGGCCAGCCGCTGCGCGCGGCCCTAGCAGAAGCTGCGCCCCGAACCGGAACTGTGACTGTACGCGAAGGTGATTGTGACGGTGCAGGAGAGGGTGTGACTGTGCTCGTGGCAGTGCGGCAGTAGCTGGTACCGTGGCCGAGGCACCAGCAGGGGAAGCAGTGGCAGCTGCTGCTGCCGGCCTCCGATGCCACATGCGACCCGCGGAGCGACCGCCTTGCGCCCGGCTTACCCGCCACCGTGCCTCGGAATCGGGTCGGATCGGATCGGATCGCGCGCAGAACGCCGAGCGCTGACAGGCTAGGACGGGGCTTGTGAGCGGTGATATGATGTGTGTGCGCGGGGTGAAAACGTGCACGGATTCGCGCGTAGGAGAGGGATACGAGGCGATCTTATATATACGTTTGGTTCTACGGCAGCAAGAGTTCAGGGCAGTAAACGCCGGCTGCGGTGGGTCTAGGTATGATTCGACGAGCTTTAGACGACTTATAGCTGAGAGAAAGGAAGCTGCTTGAGCGACGCTCTGGTGTTACTGTATGAATGAAGGGTAAGTAGCTTTCGCAGGGGTACTACTAGCGACCCTGCGCTTTCAAGGGGACTACAGTGCTAGTTGCGGGCACTTTCCGCCCCTCCGCCACTCCGACAGGAACATTATGGAAACAACACAGAACTCGGTACCACATTTACCCACGTGTCACAAACTAGGAAAGTTGGAAAACGCATGGCAAAAAAAAAAAAACCCATAGGGAACCTGGACTCATTTTCGGGAGGGATAAACCCTAAACACGGGAACCCACATTTTTTTTGGATTGATGCCTCCCCGAGACGCATCCCTTCCCGATTGGGTTTTAGTTTTTTTTGGTCAGGTAAAGGGATATTTTATCCAGTGGCTTGCGAAATTTGTGACACGTGGGTGAATGTGGGACCGAGTTCTGTGTTGTTGCCATAATGTTCCTGTCAGGGTGGCGGAGTGGCGGAAAGTGCCCGCAACTAGCCCTGTAGTCCCCTTGAAAGTGCAGGGTTGCTAGTAGTACCCCAGGGAAAGCTACTTACCCATGAATGAACAAACACCACTAAAAACAGCTTACTGTTGGCTTTCTGCTACTAATAAAGGGTATTTATAAGAGACGTCACAAAACATTTTGGAGTTCTCATGAGCAGTTACATGTTCTGCCAATTCGATTACGAACGGTCACATGTTCTGCCGAATCTATCACGAACCATCACACGGGTATCACCCGCCGTCACTTAAAGGCACTAAATTCTATCACGGGTAGTCATACTCAAAACTTTGCTATCACAGATGAACCCTCTCATCATTTCGTTGACCCTCCCTGAAACACTCTACAGATTTAGGGACTATATTTCGGGTTGCTGGTTTTTGTCATGTATACGCGACAATTTTGGGTGCAAAGATACCTAGTTATGTTCGAATCGACGTAACACGCTTTATTTAAAAAACATGAATGGATTTGAACGGATATATCTTTTGTTAGAGTTCGCAATTCATTGAATCTGCCTAAATGTTTATCAAGATTCTGAACAGTCCATAAATTGGAACGGTCACATGCCTACATCCATATCAAGATGCGGATAAACATCTTTGAAAGATTCAATGAATTGTGAGCTCTAGCAATATACATATGCGTTCAAATCCATTCATAAATTTTTTAAAACTAAAGTATGTTACGTCGATTCGAACGTAACCACGTATCTTTGCACCCAAAATGGCCGCGTATACAGGGCAAAAACTAGCAACCCGAAATATAGTCCCTAAATCTGTACAGTGTTTCAGGGCGGGTCAACGAAATGATGAGAGGGTTCATCTGTGACAGCAAAGTATCGAGTGTGACTACCCGTGATAGAATTTAGTGCCTTTGAGTGACGGCGGGTGATACCTGTGTGATGGTTTGTGATAGATTCAGCAGAACATGTGACCGTTCGTGATAGATTTGGCGGAACATGGGACTGCTTGTGATAACTCCGAAATGTTTTGTGACGGCCGTATAAAAACCCAATAATAAATCGAGGTCTGAGATATTCGATGGATGTGGACGTTTTGAAAGCACAGGGACCTTGGGGCAACGTTCATCAGAGCAAGCAAACCCCTCTCTGGTGCTGAGCAATAGTGACTGGGTAGAGGTTGTAAAACAAGAGCAGCAATGAACGGGAAATCTCTCAAGTTTATTTCAACGCCCTCGATTGTTCCGTTCAACTTGCTCCCGATGTTCTGCGGAGTGAAGAAAGGGTAATGTAGGTATAGTTCGGTGCTAGTGTTCTGTACCCCCTGATAAAATTTCACCAGACCAAACAAAGGACCACAAAATGATTTCGGACGAAATGATGCGAGCTGCCCATAAAACTCACTACAGTTCTCCCGAACAAAGTCTGCGAAGTGGGAAGCGAGCCACACGCAGCCTTGAAAGGCTGTGTCGTGTCACATGCTTGTAGGGAAACAGCCAATGAGGTGTTCGATTTTGGAAAAACCGACAAAATCTGGGAACCAGTTCAGCAAATCGGGCAATCTACCCGTTGCAGCTGTAGATTCATAGAAATTACCTCATCCCCTCTTTAGAACTACCTTTTTATCAGCGTGTAAGCTTTTCAAGATGGTTCACAAAAGCAAAATCGTCCGCATGTTACAGTTTACAGCTGTTCGAGTGGCTTCACACTCACGAAATCGGCATTCTCGGGGAGGCTGTGTTTTATGACAATACTCGATTCCTCGAAGTTTGCTCTCTGTCAACTCCAAGGGACTTGACTTCCTGCACTCGCCTCCAGTTTCTTCTCTCCTTGGAAGTCAGCTGAGAAGCGATGATCATTCTCGGGGATGTTTGGAAGGAATCTCACCCTCTGACGTGTACTATTGTTGACAATAGATTTCCAGGGAGCGGCGAGCTGCGATGGCCAACTAGTACCAGATTTCATGTCTTCCACTACCATAGCTTCGCCAATCCATGGCGGATCTCCCTCCAGAGGTGCACGCTCGTAACATTCGCACAGATAGGTACCCCGAGTCGCTCCATATGCACTTACAACTCGAAGAATCGTCGGCACCAGGAACTCCAGCATACCCCGCGTCGCACGCTGCTAGTAGTCCCGACGGGCCTAGTAGTCCCGGCGCGTCCGCGTCGCCCCATGGGAGACGACTGTCGCCGTCTGGTTCTCGACACAGAGCGGGAAAGCGGCATACGCTGCTTCTAGCACGCACTGCCAGTCATGCGACCTCCCTTGCACGCGCCTCTCCCGCATCTACGACTTCCGGCAATGCGATGGCTTCCCGTGCTGCTCGATCAGGCTCCGGAGATCATTCCTCGTCCGTCCGATCGTCCACGTCATCCTCTCGTATGAACCACAGGAAGAGAAGCGTAGCGCGTGGTTCTAGCAACCCAGCGTCTGTAGCGTCCTCCGCTTCTGGTTTCACATCCACGGCAAATGCTGCGGCCGCGGGAACCACTGCAGATGCAACCGCCTCCAATCCGAACGGGATTCTCAATATCAGATCAGAATCGTCACCTGGCAAGGGATTGGAGCAGTTACTTTACACCGGCGCTTCAGCTTCATGTGACAATGCCTTGAATCTGGAGGGAAATTTTCAGCATAGTGGCGACGAGACAGTGGATGCGGAAGTCGCACGGGAGAGCTGCGTGGACGGTGGGGAGGGAGAGGGTGAAGGTACGCAGAACCTCGAATCCAGAAGCCTTCCGCCTGTGCTTCCCAGCTCTTGCGTGCCCGTTCCTGCCGTTCGGAACCATGATTTGGATAGTGCCAGCCAAAATGCTCTCACCACCGGAATCGACGCCTTTACTGCTAATTCTTCTGCGAAGGGTGGTGAATCCGTACCAGATGCTATGGAGGATTTCGAAGAAGGCAGCAGCGACAGCCAGGCTCTTCGAGTCTCTGGTTTGCCACGAGGTTTTCCATTGCCTCCTCCTGCTCGCGTCTCTCCTGCTCGCGTCTCTCCTGCCAGGCCTCCCCTGGCGTCATCCCTCTCAGCGCCTCCGCGATCCCTTGCCTTATACGGAGGACGGAGTGTACCACCCGGGGCAGGTGACGCTGGAAGCTCCGTTCAAAAGCCTGCTTCGTTACAAGCAGCCTCAGGCTCGATGCATGCACGGCCAATATCGAGCCGGAGCCTGCCATCCGGTGCTGTTATCGACGTGGAGGGGGGTGCAGCTGCGGAGGAGGGTGGGGCAGAGAAGATATTTGTGGCGGTGCGAGTGAGGCCGTTGAGTGCGAGGGAGGTGGCGGCAGGGGAGGAGAGTGTGTGGCAAGTGCTCGACGCCTGCTCTATCCGCTCTGTGCTCCCTTCCACTGCGCCTGCTTCGTTGCAAGGAGACCGCGCAGTGCCTGCTCAGACTTACCACTTTGGTAACGCCTCTTCTTTGCCACAGGGATGAGATGCATCGTACATACAACACTACCCTTCCTTTTCGTTTCAGTAGGGATTACCTGCTGCAGTGCTCACTGCTCTCCCCCCTTCTTCGGCCTTTCTATCTTATTCCGAATGAAAGTAATTCCCCTCATTATCCACTGGGCAACCTTCTGTCGTTTTCTGGCGTCCTTGAACTCGCCTTCGTCCTCTCACATCTGCATCTTCACACAAGCCTGATCTGATCCCATCTTCTCAGAGGTTCCATGCCATATCTCTTCATCTTCATGTCAGCATCGTTTTCCCTCCCACGCTCTCGTTCCCTCCCCTGTCGCTGAGTACAATTCCCCATGCAAATCCTGCACCGCCCTGCATCCCCTGCGTCTCCTGTGCCTGTGCATGCAGACAGGGTATTTGACGAGCAGGCGTCGTCCCTGGCAGTGTACCAGCATGCAGCCAAACACGTGGTGCTCTCCGTGCTGCAAGGAGTCAACGGTTCGTCCGTCTATCTGCCCTTTCACCTGCCCCTTCACCTCTCTCTTTACCTGCCCGTTCACCCGCCCCTTCCTTTTCTGCTCTACTTGTTCCCGCGTTTCTTCTCAGCACCTCCCTCCGACTGCTCTAAGCCCATCCTTTTCGACCCAGTCTCTCCTGTCCCGTCAGTTCCACTCACTAACTACCTCTCACTATCGTGAGACAATCCCCTGTCATTACATGGACGGAGCTTCTTTCTCGTACAGTATGTGAGGTGAGGTGAGGTGAGGCTAGGACTAATCCATCCAGTTTCCCGAATCCCTTCCCCTTCCATGGCTGTTTGTTTCCCCCCCTCGCCTCGCCTCTCCCACCCCCCGCCAGGCACCATCTTTGCATATGGGATGACAGGGAGTGGCAAGACGTTCACCATGGCAGCAGTAACGGAGATGGCTATACAGGAGATCTTTGATCACATAACCAAGGTGAGGATGGGGACCAGATCAGTAAAGCACACTTATCGCACTTGCCAGAATATAGGGAAATCTTGGGGGTGTTCAGAATCTAGTACCGAATAGTCAGCATGATTAAATTTCTGAAAGGATTGTTAGGAAGGCTTGGTTGGATCGCTGGGGTGTTTGGCTTTCACAGTCTAATCAGCCCTCCTTTCACTGCGCGTTTTTCTCCCCTCCTGAGAGTCTCGGAAATGATCCTGAGACTCTCTCTCACTTCCTCCTCCTTGCCTCGTTCACTTGCACTGCATGTCAAAGCAACCTACCACGCACACGCACCCCTTTTTCCCCGCTCCTCCCACCACCCAGCTCTCCTCCTCCCCCTCGACCCCACTCACCCCTCCTCCTCCCTTCCCATCTTCCTTCTCCCCTTCACCCTCCTTCCATTCCACTCCAGCACGGCGGCGAGCGAGAGTATTCCCTGCAGCTGGCAGCCATGGAGATCTAGAACGAGCAAGTGCGGGACCTGCTGGGCTTTGAGGTGTCTTAGGATTCTCCCCCTGTCCCCTCCCTCCACCTAACCTCTCCCCCACCTCAGCACGGCGGTGAGCGGGAGTATTCCCTGCAGCTGGCAGCCATGGAGATCTACAACGAGCAAGTGCGGGACCTGCTGGCTGCTCCAGGGGACAGCGCACCGCTCAGAGTGCTCGATGGCGCAGAGGTGGGTGGGAGAAGTGGGCGTGGTGGGGAGCAGTGTGGGTGGTGGGGTGCGTGGGAGGAGAGTGAAGTTGTGCGAGGGCAAGAAGGGGACGGGTGATCCTCGAGATGCCTCAAGGCAATGCCGGGTGGTGGGGTTCGTGGGAGGGTAATCAGGGAATGCCTGGGAGGGGATGAGGTTGTGGGAGGTAAGGAGATGACGGATGAGTGGGAGGAGGGATGGGAGGAGGAGCAAGAGGAGCAGGGAGGGCGGGAGGGGTAGGTGTGCTGTTGCCTGTGCATTTCTGTCTCTCTGTTTGGGGAAAAGCACACAACACAAGTGTGTGTGTGTGTGTGTGTGTGTGTGTGTGTGTGTGTGTGTGTGTGTGTGTGTGTGTGTGTGTGTGCGCATGTGTACATGCGCTTGTGCATGCATGCATGCGCGTGTGTGTACACGTCTGCGTGCATGCATGCATGCATGCATGGCGCCTATCCCCCATGCAGGGCGGGACTCTAGTGGAGAACCTGTCACGCCATGACGTACGCTCGCCAGCACACCTGCTGCTGCTGCTGGACCAGTGCACATGTGAGTGCGAGAGTGTGTGAGGGCGGGGTGTGCGAGTGAGGAGCGTGAGAGGGGCGAGTGCGAGTAATGGGAGTGTGTGATGGGGGAGTGTGAGAGGGGGGACTGAGAGGGGTGGGAGTGTGTGAGACGTGGGAGCGCGTGAGAGACAGCTCTTTTCCCTCGCTTCCCAGTAGGTCCCACCTTTCTCTCCTCCTCCAACTTCGTCCCCCCCACCCGCTCCCAACCACACCCTTCCTTCCTCTCCCACCCATCCCCCCATCCACACCCCGTCTCTCCCCACATCCCCCATCCCATCCCCTCCCCCTTCCCCTTGCATGGCAGCCCAGCGCACAGTGGGGGAGACGCAGATGAACGAGGCCAGCTCTCGGTCACACCTCATCGTGCAGCTGGTGAGGCAAAGGAAACACCATGGTGGGAGTGAGGGTGGGGGTGAGGTTGGGTTGGGGATGAGGCTGGGGTGGGGGTGGGGGTGGATGTGGGGGTGGGGGGGGTGGATGTGGGGGTGTCACGCAAGATGTTCTCAATGCATGCTATGCTAATACCAACCTGGGGGCCTATACCAATTGCACACAATGCCAAGTCCTCAACTATTCCCGCTTCTCGAATGGTCCCTCCTCTCATTCCCATCCCATCCCGTTTCCCTCTCTCCATTACTCCTCTGTCACTCTGCCCGCAACCACTCTCTGTCCTATGTGCAGTTGTGCCTGCCTGCAAACTAAGCAGAACGAGGTGACTTTTGAGTCGACTCAAAAGTCACCTCGTTGCCTGCCTGCAGACTGTGCAGAGCGAGCCCAACTGCAGCATCCTTTTGAGGCGCCTCATGAATGATTTCCCTCTCTCCGTTACTCCGTTACTCCCCTGTCACTCTGTACGCCACCACTCTGTGCTGTGCCCCACACATGCCTGCAGACCGTGCAGAGCGAGCCCACCGCACCATCTGCCTCTCCACACCTCTCCACCGCCTCCCTCTTCACTGAACCCCCACCTGCCTCCACTGCTTCTGCTGATGTTACAAGCGCGCACCCCACCGAGCCAAGGCCCACCGAAGCATCAGAAGATGGCCCCACCAGTGTCTCCGCCTCCTTTTCCTCCTCCTTTTCCCCCTCCGTCGCCTCCTCCTTCGCCTCCTCATCCATGCTCTCGTCCTCCGCGTCCCTCCCCCTCTCCGAATCCTCCGCCTCTGCGCCGCTTGCTTCATCTGCGCCTGGCCTTGCTCCCCTGCCGGCACCTGTCCTACGTGCCACTCTGGTAATCATTCCCATCAATACTCTCAACAAAGGGTCACCAATACATCACCAATATTCACCAACCTCTCTCACCCGTTGTGCTCATGTGCCTTGCCTTCCCCTCTACCCTGACCCTTCATCCGTCAACCCGCTTTCCATAATTTTCTGATCTTCCACCTTCAATCCTGGTGTGCTGCATGTTGCACGTTGAACGCTGCTGCCTTCCTTCCTTCCTTCCTTCTTTTCTCCCTCCCAACCTTCCTTCTCCCTCCTTCCTTGCGCTCTCTCCCCTCTCCTCCCACTCTCTCCTCACCACGAATGGTGAATCTGGGGCCTCTCTCCGAATCTGGTGGATCTCACAGGCAGTCAGAGGGCAGGGCAGGTGAGTTTCCAGTCGACTCAAAACTCAACTCGACCCAGAAATCGACTCAAAACTCCCCCCTTTTCCTACCCATCCCACGCGCCTCCCACAGAATCTGGTTGATCTAGCGGGCAGTGAGAGAGCGGGGCAGATGCAGTCAGAGGGGCAGCGGCTGAGGGAGGGAGCACACATCAACCGCAGCCTGCTCACTCTCAGCACCGTCATCCACAAGCTCAGGTGGGCACACATGAGTCTGCTTTGGGGCCCCTTACGAATCGTCTCACTTTTGAGGTGCATCTGTCGCAGCCTGCTCACTCTCAGCACCGTCATCCACAAGCTCAGGTGAGCACGCACGCACGCGCACGAGTCTATGACTGCGTCTGCGGCACTTCAGAAATAGTCTCGCTTTCGAGGTGCATCAACCGCAGCCGCTCACACTCAGCACTGTCATCCACAAGCTCAGGTGAGTGTGAGTCAGCACCGTCTCCGACTCCAACAGAGAAATTGCAGTCTGCTGCTCTACTGGTGCGACTTTTGAGAATTCTCATTGAGATCTCAAAAGTCGCACCAGTCTGCTGCTTCACTGTGCTCAGGTGCCGGCCCCTGATGGTCCTGTAGGCTCTAACTGCTAGTGCTGCGATCTGCAGGGCTGTTTGCATTGCCCACAGGAGGAGGAGTAGCCATGGTAATTCTCTGTGAGCAGAGCTGCTGCTGGTGGTACGTTGGGCAGCAGAGGGAAGGAATAAAATAGTGGTCCTGTTCACACTTCCCAGTTGCAGTCTCAGAACAACGAGTATATTCTCACATTCATCACACTTCCGCTTCTACCTCCCTGCACCTCCCCCTTCCCCCCCTCCCACTCTACCCATTTGCCTCCTCCCTTCAGTGCCCGTGCCTCTTCCCTCTCCTCCTCCTCCTCCTCCTCCTCCTCCTCCTCCTCCTCCTCCTCCTCCTCCTCCTCCTCCTCCTCCTCCTCCTCCTCCTCCTCCTCCTCCTCCTCCTCCTCCTCCTCCACGCCACCCCCCCTCTCCTCCTCCTCCTCCTCCGCCTCCTCATCCTCCTCCCCCTCCCGTGCCCCCCACATCCCCTACCACAACTCCAAGCTAACACGCATCCTGCAGAGTGCGCTGGGGGACAACGGCCGCACAGCCGTGCTGTGCACTGTGAGAAGAATCACCATCCCCTCTCTCCACTCTTGCTAGTTGCCGTACTCACCCTAACCACACCAACACTTCTACCTCCCCTCTCCCCTTCCCCACCCTTTACCCGTTTTCTCCCCTCCCTCCAGCGCACCAGTCGCCTCCCTCACCTCCTCCTCCTCCTCCTCCTCCTCCTCCTCCTCCTCCTCCATGCCACCCAACCTCTCCTCCTCCTCCGCCTCCTCCTCCTCGTCCCCATCCCGCGCCCCCCACATCCCCTACCGGGACTCCAAGCTCACGCGCATTCTGCAGAGCGCGCTGGGGGGCAACGGCCGCACGGCCGTGCTGTGCACTGTGAGCGCAGCAGCGTGCCATGCGGAGCACACACGCAACACCCTCGCGTTTGCTGCACGCGCCAAGCAGGTCTCCACCACCGCCAAAGTGAACACGGTTAGTGGCGGTGTGGCGGGAAGGGTTTCTGGTTTAGGCGCTCTTGTGGTTTAGGCGCTCCTGCGGTTTAGGCGCTCTTGTGGTTTAGGCGCTCTTGTGGTTTAGGCGCTCTTGTGGTTTAGGCGCTCTTGTGGTTTAGGCGCTCTAGAACTCGATTGCTGCGCGTTTGCTGCGCATTTGCTGCGCGCGCCAAGCAGGTCTCCTCCACTCATCCTGACAGGATGAGTTTCTGGATTAGGCGTGTTTCTTGTCCAGGTGAGAAGGAGCTCATTGTTTTGGTCATCTCAAAATCAGCCGCTGCTCAGGCCAAGCAGGTGTCTGTCTGTCTGTCTGTCCACAACATGTGATTAAGTGTCAACACTTTCAGTGGGGGGAGGAACCTGGTGATGCAGGTGGATGGTGGAGAAATGGAGGTGTTGAGTTGAGTCGACTCAAGAGGTTGCTCCATTGAGTGTGCTTCCCTGTCACACGTTTGGGTTCATGATGAGACCCTAGGCAGCTGCTGCCATGCGGGATCACAAGGCGAGACACTGACCAGATTTGCTTGCACGCATGTATGCATGTGGATATGTGTGTGTGCGTGTATGCATGTGGATATCTGTGTATGCGTGTATGCATGTGGATATCTGTGTATGCGTGTATGCATGTGGATATGTGTGTGCGCGCGTATGCATGTACATGCGTGTGTGTGCGTTTGTGTGTGCGTGTGTGCGTTTGTGCTTATGCATGCGCGTGTGTGTGTGTTGGGGGGGGGGGGGGGGGGGGGGGCGTGCATGTTTGCGTGGTGATCATGCTTATACGTGCATGAACTCTGAGCAGGTGGAATCGGGTCAAGAGAAGGTGATTCGGCAGCTGCAACAGCAGGTCAAGCTGCTGGAGGGCAAACTGAAAGGCGTGGAAGAGGAGAGACAAAAGCAGCAGCAGCAACAGGAGCAGAAGCAGCAGCAGGCTTTGAGTGAGGAGGCAGGCGGGAGGAGGAGGAGCAACGAGGGCGTATCAGCAGCAGCAGCAGCAGCAGCGAGGCAGCTGATACTGGAGTATGAGGAAGCAATGGGACAGCTAGAGGCAGAGAACGAGGAGGTCAGTGGGATGCGGGCATGGCAATCGCAAACGCCCTCAACAATTGCACCACACCTGGACGCTTCTGCAATCACGCACCCACACCACACACACACACCCACACCCATGCTTCCCTATCACGCGCTTTTTAGCAGTCCTAGTCCATGTATCTCCCCTCTGATCTGGGAATACAATGTCCCTACATCAACGCTTCCCTGGGCTGCTCGTCTTTCCTCTAGTTCTCTTCCCCTGAACCCCCTTATTCTCCTTGGCCCCTTGCCCTCCACTCCCCCCCTCCCCCTTCGCTGTTCGCGCGCATGTAACCTGGATAATTATATGAAAGAACCGTTTGAGGGACAAGCCTCGGCCTCGGTGCTTTGGAGACACCTGACCCCCCCGATTCCCCCCTTTCTAATTCCAAATCCGCCTTCCCCTTCAGCTGTACACACATCTGTCGCGCGCTCTCTCCCAGCGGGACGAGGCGCGGTGTTTTCAAAGGCGCCTCAACCCCCCCATCCCCCCACCTTCCCAACCTTGAACCTCCCTTCCCCTTCAGCTGTACACACATCTGTCGCGCGCTCTCTCCCAGCGGGACGAGGCGCGGTGCATGGTGGCAGCGCAGCAGAGGGAGGTGCGGGCCATGCGGGAGCACCTGGCGCTGCTGCAGTGGCAGCTGGACGAGGGTCAGGGGAGCGAGGAGAGCGAGGGGAGTGAGGGGGGCGAGGGGAGTGAGGGGGGCGAGGGGAGTGAGGGGGGCGAGGGGAGTGACGGGGGCAAGAGGAATTTGGTGGAGGGGGATGGTGGAGAGGATGGTGCGGTGAGGAGTGGTTTGGAAGGAGGGAGTGGTGTGGAGAGAGCAGCAGGGCGAGAGGGGGTTGGTGAGGAGGAGGGCGGGAGACAGGGGAACGAAGGGGCTTTAAGAGGAATTGATGGGGAAGCAACAGCAAGCCCTGTGGTTAGCTGTGTTGCATCTCGAGCAGGCAACAGCAGTGGGAGGTTCAGCAGCAGCAGCAGAATGGGCAGAAGAAGCAGGAGCGGGAGGAGCGGGAGTCAGTCAGGGAGGACGAGTCCTGTGTCTGCTGTCCGCCCTCCCAGTGCCACCCACAGTCTCTTCCGAAGTAGCTTCTCGTTTACTGATCCTGATGGCACTCTGCTGTTCCAGCAGCAGCAGCAGCAGCAGCAGCAGGAAGAGCAAGAGCACCTGGAGACTGATGAGTACAGGAATATTGGTTCCTCCCCCAGCCGCGGCCGCAAGAGTAATGCTGTTGTCGCTGCTGACGCTGCCCATGCTGCTGACGCTGCCCATGCTGCTGATGCTGCCCATGCTGCTGACGCTGCAAATGCTGCTGACGCTGCAAATGCTGCTGACGGTGCAAATGCTGCTGACGGCGCTGGCTCTGTTTCCACTCGACGGTATGTATGATGTTTCCAGTTTTTAGATGATCATTCACGGATTGTCTGGTTGCTGGCTTGCTGCCACATCGCATCGCATCGCATCCCATCGCATCGCATCCCATCGCATTGCGTCACATCACATCACATCCCAGCATCTTCCATCCCATTCTCATCTATACCCCTTCACTCTGCATGTATACGTCTTTTGAACAGTTAACCCACCCGTAACCCTTTCCCTCCTCCTCGTTACCCCCACCCTCTCTGCCGTTATAACCATCTCTGTGACCAGCAGCTAACCCTTACCCAATCCGTACCCTCTAACCTCGCCCACCCTCTCCTCCCGCGCTCTTGTGAGCAGCAGCGACTATGATCCTTACTCAGTCAATACCCTTTCCCCATTCTGCCTCTTCGATCACTCACCCTCTCCGCCCGTCTACCAATTCCTGTGAGCAGCAGCAACTATGCAAGGCAAGCGTGGGTGCAGCAGCTGCAGCGGCTGGCAGTGATGGGCGAGAGGATGGGGCAGCAGGACGCGCACAGAGCACTGCTCGCGCTACAGGCTGAGATTCACTCGCTCTGGCTCTCCGCCTCTACTTCCCTCTCTCCCTCTGCTTCCCTTCGAACCTCCGGTTTTCCTGCTGCTGCTGCTGCTGCTGTTGCTGCTGATCCTCCTACTGGTGCTGCCAGCACTGCTGGTGCTGCTGCAGCTGGTGGTGTTGCTTTTGATTTCCCTTCTGCAGCTCCGCAGATCTCTGCTGCTTCGTGTGCTGTGGTGGATGGTGCAGCACGTAACAGCAGTTGCGCCACTGCTGCCACAGAGGCAGTTTGCTATGGGTATCGGAACAGTGCTAGCGGCAGTAGTAGCCCTCTCTTCCGCCACTCACTTTCTGCACTGCCACCGCCATTACCACCTGTCCTCGTCCTTGGACCGCCAGAAGCAGCAGCAGCAACTGCAAGAGCAGCAAGTGCAGGAACAATGGCAGACGGCACAACCGAAGCAGCAGATGCAGCAGAAGCAGCTTCAGCATTGGCTGCATCAACTGAGCCTCGAATCAGCTTGTCAAACCCACAGGGAGAAGCACAAGTGGTGGCCGGAAGGGACGGAAGATTCTTACGCATGCTTGGCATGTACAACCCAGAGCCAACGGACACAGCTGCTCCTTCTGGATCATCCCTAGACGATCCTGTCGTTGCTGGGGCTGGTGAGGCTGCAAGCTGTGCTGCCTCCGGGGAAGCAGCTGCTGGTGCTGAAACGGTACAATGGAGTGACATCAAGGCGCCACTGCTGCAGGATACCTCAGAGGGGCTTGAAGGTGCAATGGTGCTGGCTGGCTTGCATTCTGCTGCTGTTGCTGCTGGAGTGACGAGAGATGCAGCGACAGGCACTGCTATCGCAGCTGCTTCTCCTGATAACGATGGCTTGCTCTTGCTGCTGCAGCAGCAGCACCAGCAGCACCAGCAGCAGCAGCACCAGCAGCAGCAGCAGCAGCAGCAGCAGCAGCAGCAGCAGCAGCAGATGGGACGGATGAGAGCACGAGCGATAGAGGAGCTGGACGGGGAGCAGGAGTTGGAAGGAGAGGAGAATCAGGGGCAGGAAGGGGAGGAAGAGGAGGAGTACCCATGTGCGGCTATCCCTCGGCTGGAGCGGCAGCTGCAGCGCATGCAGCTGTCTCTGCGAGGCATGCTGGCTGTCGCTGCTGCTGCTCATGAAGCTGAAAGAAGCAGCGGTGATTCCCTTGCGGCTGCTCGGTCGAATGCTCATGATCATCTCACTCCTGATGCTGCCATTGTAGGCTCGTGTTGTCCCGGATTGGCAAGTGTTGCTGCTTCGGCTAGCGCTAGTGCCCCTGCTGGTGCAGTATACAGCACAATTGCACACGCAGCCACTCCCTTGGGGCGTGGTGGTATGGCTGATGGCATGGCTACTGGTTTGGCGGAGAGCATGGCGGATGGTGTAAGAACTCCTGCTTTTGCGCTTGACAGCGCTGCCGTTACAGATACGGCGGTTGGTGCGAGTGCTGCATCTCCCCGCCACTCCATCCCCCCCGACTCGTCCTTCTCTCCCTGTGTGTCCCTCACGGCCTCGTCCTCCTTCTCCCTCGCCCTCGCCCTCGCTTCACCTGCTCGGATCTCTCCCAGGGTCGTTGGGAGTATGGAGGCGCCTCAAAGGTCAATCTCCGGCTCATCTCCCTTCCCGTTTGCTCTAGGTCCACCTGCCAGGTTTTCTCTTGGGGGGGTTGGGAGTGAGGGGAGAGGGAGGACGATCGGGGATGGTGGTGGTTACTGTGGTGTTGGTTTGATTCGTGTTGTGGGAGGGGATGAGGAGAGGCATGGGGAGGACGATGTGGGGGAGAGTCGGGTGGGTGGGTGGCAGGGTAGCGTGATGAGGAAGGGAGGCGAGGCAGAGGAAAGTGAGGAGAGGGGAGTGGGAGGGGTGGGCGAGGAGGGAGGGGAGGGAGATGAAGGAGAACGAGAGTGGGCGGAGGAGGGAGTGGGTGAGGAGAGGAGGCAGATAGCTGAGGAGGGGCATGTACTTGAATGGGAGGGTGGAGAGGAGCAGAGAACACTGGGAAGGGTGGATGGAGTGGAGAAAGCAGAGGAGTATGTCGAAGAGACAGAGAGTGAGAGACGCTCGGTTGGAGAGGGGAACACGGGAAAATCTATGGAGCGGGAGAAGGAGAAGCGAGGAAGACGGGAAGTAACAGCGGCAGCAGCATTTGCAGCAGCCGCACCAGCAGGGGAGCAGGAGCATGAGCAGTGGAAAGTGTGCGGAGCACTGGGGAGCAGCAGCAGCAGCATCGGCAGCGGCAGCAGGGGCAGCATGCAGCGGGTGATGCAGGCAGCAATGGATCGCAACATGGCGGCCATTCGCGTGTACGTGGGCGAGCTCAAGGAGCGAGTGGCCAAGCTGCACTTCCAGAAACAGCTGCTGCTCTGCCAGGTGTGCACGAGGGCAGGGGAAGGGGTGTGTCTGTGGTAGGTGGAGGGGGGGTGGCCTGGCAGGTGCGAGGGGGTCTACTATCAGGTGAACTTTGATTCGACTTCAAATGCACCTAGTACGTGCCGGGGGGAATGGTGTGGCATGTAAGGTTGTGCTAACCCTGTTGGGCATGGGTATAGGGTATGTGGGGTGTGGTGAGGAGTGGTAACATGGTGCCTGGGGCATGATTCATGGGATTCGTTTCTGGGCTCTTAAGCCAGAACTTGGAGCATACAATCCGTAACTCTGCTTTGGATGAAACCTGTAAACCTAGGAGAGATGGGTAACTTCCATTCAGCCGAGGGACGGATAAATATCCATCACTTTCTTCTCCCTTCCTTTGCTTTTGTTGCTCTCCCCTCCTCTCCTCCCTTCCCTTGGCCTCTCCTCTCCTCTTCGTCCTCTCCTCCGTGTACTCACCCCGTCCCTCCCCTTCCCTCTCCTCCTCTCCCCTCTTTTCCCCTCGCCTAATCCAATCACAGGTGCTCGTGCTGGGGCAGAGAACTTGGGCTAGCTGCCTCTGCTGGGTACTTTCTCTCTTTTTCAGAATCTCCAAAAACACTCATCCCATCCAACCGAACCCCACACCTATACCGCAGGTGCTCATTCTGGAGTCAGAGAGGAGGAAGGCATTTGAGCCAATGCAAATGTTTCTTCCCATCCCATCCCATTCCCTCCCACGGTCCCAACCCATCCAATTCCTTCCCATACAATCCAACCCCCACACCTCTGTCGCAGGTGCTAGAGCTGGAAGCAGAGAAGGAGGGGCGGCTGCTGCTGCAGCAGGTGTTTTATTTAAATCTCAGTTCACCTTTTCCGTCCAACTCTCAAATCCACACCCCAATCGCAGGTGCTAGAGCTGGAGGCAGAGAAGGAAGGGCGGCTGCTGCTGCAGCAGGCGGACAGGGGCGGGAAGGTGGGCGGGCGGTGGGGGCACGAGAGGCACAGCAGACAGAGAATGACGTGGCAGGGGGAGAAGTGGCGCGGAGGGCACGAGGGGATGGGTGGGGGGATGGGCGTGTGGGGGGTGCGTGGAGGAGCAGGCATGGTACGTGAGTCTGACGTGGCATTGGGGAGGGGGGGGCTGGAGAAGATAGAGGAGGGGCGGAGTGGGCGGGAGGGGGCGGAGGGAGGGATGGAGAGAGGGGATGATGGTAAAGATTGGCCTGGTTACAATGCTGCTGGTGATGCTGACGATGCTGCTGCTGCTGGTGTGAATCTTGCTGCCCGTGTTGATTCTGCGGCTGGTGTTGATGCTCCTGCTGGTGCTGATATCGCTGCTACTGTTGATGCTGCTGCTGATGCTGATGCTGATGCTGCTGCTGATGCTGATGCTGCTGCTGCTGCTGCTGCTGCTGCTGCTGCTGCTGCTGATGATGATGATGCTGCTGCTGCTGCTGCTGCTGCTGCTGCTGCTGCTGCTGCTGCTGCTGCTGCTGCTGCTGCTGCTGCTGCTGCTGCTGCTGCTGCTGCTGCTGCTGCTGCTGCTGCTGCTGCTGCTGCTGCTGCTGCTGCTGCTGCTGCTGCTGCTGCTGCTGCTGCTGCTGCTGCTGCTGCTGCTGCTGCTGCTGCTGCTGCTGCTGCTGCTGCTGCTGATGCTGCTGCTGCTGCTGCTGCTGCTGCTGATGCTGATGATGGTGATCCAGGTGGGGAAGGGTTTTGGTACATGAACGGGAACGTGGGGAAGTGCGAGCATGGTGTGGTGCGTGTGGAGGAGGAGGGGGGCCATGATTGCACTGGAGAGGCAGAGGTAGGGGGAGAGGGAGGCGGGGGCACTGTGGAGAGTAGCGAGGAGATCAGCAAGCAGGGGCGTGCAAGTGGGGAAGAGCGGCAGGAAAGTGCAAGCAGAGTGGCAGGCAGAGATGCTTGTGTTGTAAACAACGTGAATATTGCAGCAGCACCAGCACCAGGCACGGCAGCAACAGCAACACCAGCTTCATCATCAGCAGCAGCAGCAGCAGCAGCAGAAGCAGCAGCAGCCACAGCAGCATCAGGCTCAACAGCAGATGCAGAGGAGGCGGCAGCAGCAGCAGTGCAGGCAGAGTGTTTGCTTGCAGACATAATCACCATGTGGCATGCTTGCCACGTGCCCCTGCTGAGACGCTCCCAGGTGCTGCTGGCCGTTGTGGGAAGTTGCATGGAGGGTGGTGCCATGGGTGATGGTAATGAAGGCCATGTGAATGATGAAGGTGGTAGCAGGCACGATGGACGCAAGGGGCGTGGAGGAGAAGGGGTGCCGGCGAGCAGGGCAAGCAGGCCGAGGATGACGAGTGGGACGAGTGGAGTGATTGGGATGAGCAGCGTACATGTGGAGGTGGAGTGGCGGCACATGCGATGGCTGCACAGGCAGCTGCAACTGCCCTGCCATGCGGGCTGGCTCAGGTATGCGGTGATGGGGGGAGGGAGAGTGGGGAGAGATGGGGAGAAGGGAAGAAAGCGCGAGAGGTGGGGATAGAGGGGGAGAGATGGGTGGAGAGGGGAGAGGTGGGGAAAAAGGGGATATGGGCTTGTTGTGGGAATGGAGAGTAGCTGGGGGAGGAAGAGACGTGGAGGGAATGGAAGAGGAGAGGAAAGGAAGGCAACCAAGAGGAAATCAATATGCTCATCCCTCCTTTTGCCACAGGTACAGTGAGTCTTGAGGTGAGTCTTGAGGTGAGTCTTGAGACGACTCAAATACTTACATTTGCAAATCCTCTACCTTTTCTGCCCGTTCTCCTCAAGCCCACTCTGTCCCAATCTGCCCTTGTGCAATGCGCTTCGTCTCTCCTCTTTCCTTCCAATCATCCTCGTGCGTCCTGATAGTAATGGAGCTCAACTGATTGATTAGGAAAGAAGGCACTAGGCCTTAAGTACAAACGAGGTTGGGATGGGCAAGGCTAGGGAAAGGATGGGATGGGAATCCTCGCAAATCTCCAATTGGTGAGTTGGCAGATTTGCAGGATTACGAGGGAATCCCAACCAGATAGGGTTGGGATCACAAATTACACCCAACCCGCAAATAACCTACGCGATATAGAACATAGTACACGAAGTGTTGACAGCCTAATTCTAACACACCCCTTAGGCTGCAACACATCTGCCACAAGGAGGCCCAACACCCATGGCCGAGAGGAGGCGGTAATGATCCTCGCGAACAAGCGACTTGGTAAACAAGTCAGCAAGGTTGCAGTCGGAGGCAATGTGTTCAGCCTTCAGCTGCTCGCGCTGCACCAGCTCACGAAGAAAGTAGTGACGGACTTCAATGTGCTTGGTGCGGCCATGGAAAACGGGGTCTTTGGTGAGATGAATGGTGCTCTTGTTGTCACACCAAAGCGTTGGGGTTGGTTGGGGATACCCCAGTTCTGTCAGCAGGAAGGAGAGCCAACGAGCCTCCTGTGCAGCCATGGTCCCGGCATACAGCTCTGCCTCACAGGTCGACAGTGAGACGGAGGACGACCAAGTGGAGCGCCAACTTACAACCCCACTGCCAAGGATAAAGCAATACCCTTGGGACGAGCGCCGATCACTCTGGTCATCAGCATAGGATGAGTCACTGTACCCCTCAAGGCGAACAGGGGAAGTGCCGCCAAGTGTGAGCACATAATCCTGTGTGCCTTTGAGATAGCGAAGAACCCGCTTGGCGGCAGACCAGTGGTGGCGAGTGAAGCGACCAGGTGCAACGTAGCGGGACAATACACTGACTGGATAGGCTAAGTCTGGTCGAGTGCACATCATCGCGTACATGAGGGATCCCACAAGCTCGGGGTAAGGCTCGTCACAGGGCTCAGGTGAGGGAACGGAGGGTGCAGTGAGCTGGTGTTGCAGAGAGAGTGGGGTGGGCATTGATGCTGCTTCCTGCATCTGGAAACTCGTCAGAACGTTGTTGATGTAAAACTTCTGCGAAAGGGTGATAGTGCGGGCTGTGCGATCACGTGTGATTTCCATTCCCAAATAGTTCGTCAGCTTCCCAAGGTCCTTCATGGCCAGCTTCTCACCAAGTGCGGTTTTGACTGCTGCCAGCTCAGTCTGATCCTTGGTGACAAGGATCATGTCATCGACATAAACTAGGATGAAGAACCGGGAGGGTGTTGCTCGGATGAAGAGGCTGGGGTCAGAGGTGGATGGGTGAAAGTCGAGGGACCCTAAGGTGCTCTTTAGCTTGTTGTGCCATTCCCGGGGAGCTTGCTTGAGGCCATACACTGGCCGATTCAGCTTCCATACAGTGCCTGGTGGAAAAGGAGCTGGAAATCCTTCGGGCCGCTCCATATAGATTTCCTCTCGAAAGATCCCTTGCAGGAACGCAGAAGACACATCCATGCAGTCAACCTCCATGTCATCTCGAGCAGCGACATCGACAAGGGTGCGCAGTGTGGGAGGTTTGGCGGTGGGAGAGAATGTCTCAAAGAAGTCCAGTCCACGCTTTTGGGTAAATCCCTTGGCACAGTACCGGGCTTAGAAGACAGGAAATTCGCCTGGAAGTTGTTTCACCTGAAAGACCCATTTTCCCTTCACAATGTTGACGCCGGAGGGAGGAGAGACGTCTGTGAAAGTTCCTGTGTGAATGAAGGCCTCACATTCTGCGACAATGGCCCCCAACCACTGAGCGGCGTGAGGACCAGAGACTGCTTCAGCATAGGTGAGAGGTGTGGGGATGGAGGGGTTGTTAGAGAAATTGAGGGTTGGAGAGTCTGTGATGTCTGGAAAGAGGAAGCAGAGTGCGTGGATGGCTGAGTCGATATCAATCAACTCCTCATGTCTGTCTTCAAGGAGGGATGGCATGAGAGAATAATCACCCCCGACAGGAGGAGGATTGAGAGAGACGCGAAAGGAAAGGGAGAACGGTTGTGGAGGAGTGCGAGAGCGGGTGCGAGAAGCGATGGGTGAGGGAGGCGGGGCCGGAGTAGGCGTAGCGGAAGGGGAGGTGGGAGTGGCAGGGAGAGTGGAGACAAGATCGGGATCAGGGGTGGGAGCAGGAGGAGGAGGAGGGGGAGGAGGAGGAGCTGGGTGACGGCGTTGGTAGGTTTTGAGAGGAACGGGCTCGGTAGGAGGAGATGCGAGAGGAGATGGAGGAGGGGTAGCGGAGGAGGGAGGGAGCGAGGGAGACTGTGTGGTACTAGAGGGGGAAGCAGGTGATGGGGGATCAGAAATGGTGGAGGGAGCGGGAAGAGGAGGAGATGGAGTGTCGGGAAGAGGGAGACTGTCAAATTCAGCCCAAGTAAGAGAGGGAGGCGGAGGAGAGGGGGAAGCCTTGGAGGAGGGGTAGAATGGGTGGGACTCATCAAAGTAAACGTCCCGGCTGCGATAGAGCTTGTTGGTGGAAGGATGGAGGAAGAGATAGTCTGGCGAATCTAAGTTGTGCCCGAGGTATACGCACGTGATCGTTTTGGGAGCAAGTTTGCCGCCAGCCGCACGACGGGCTTGGGAGTTGAGGAGGACATAGGAAGTGCACCCCCATACACGAAGAGGGCGGACGGATGGCTTTTGACCCGTCCATAGCTCAGCGGGGGTGGTGTGGGTGTGATGAGGATGGGGATGGAGATTGTGGAGGGCGGCAGCATGAAGCATGGCGACCCCCAGAGAGAGGGAGGGGCGGAGGCGTGCGTGAGGAGGGAGCGAGCAATCTGCACCAATGTACGGTTCCGGCTTTCGGCAATACCGCTCTGTTGGAGACTGTCCGGGAGAGTGAAGGTCTGACGGATACCCTCAGTGGAGCAGAAAGCTTTGAGAGTGTTGTTGCGGAATTCACCGCCACCGTCAGAGTGAAGGACCTTGATGGTGGTTTTGAAGTGTTTGTGAGCCTGTTTCGCCCATTCAATGATGACGCCTGAGGCTTCGGATTTGGAGGAGAGAAGGTGGACAGACACATAGCGGGAATAGTCATCAATGATGACAAGGAAGTAAAAGTGTCCACCGCGAGAGCGAACAGGAGTTGGGCGCCAAAGGTCCATGTGCACGCGATCGAGAGGTGCAGCGGAGATGGACTCAGTGGGTGGATGGGGCTGTTCACGAAGCTTGCTCTGTGCACAGTCAAGGCAAGGCGGCCCTAGGGTGGAGGTAGGAGAGGGAAGAGAGGTTGGAAGCCCGTGGAGGAGTTGTTTTGTGGCAAAGTCTGAAAGCGCGCGAAAGTTGATGTGGCCAAGGCGGTGATGAAAGAGCATGGTTTTGTCGGAAAGGAGGCGGCAGTGACAGGTGGAGGAGTCAAGGGAAGGTAACGGGAGGTTTGTGAGGGAGCACGTTTGAATGGGAGGTACTACGAGCGTGTATAGGTTGTTAGAGTTGAGAGTGAAGCGGGCTAGATGAATGCCGATTTTGGCGTCAAAGAGGTCACAGTAGTCGACATCATTGGGAAAGATGGTGATCACTCCTGTTTGTTGGATTTCACTTTGTGCCAAGAGGTTGTGGCGGAGAGTGGGGACACAGATGCCAGTGACTGTGCCCGATGGAAATGCTGGACAAGGAACTGTGGAGGACCCATGGCATTGGATGGAGAAGCTAGAGTCGACTCCGAGGAGTGGGATGGGAGCCTGGTAAAGAACGAACGCGGTTTGGTCTTTGAGCACTGTGTGGGTGGCACCACTGTCTAGTATGAACTCGATCCCTTGTGTGTTTTAAGCACCGATGTACTGCGACCCCTTCTCATTAATAAGACCAGCACCAGAGAACAACAGGTTGAGGCGAACATCAGATGGGGTGCTATCAACTGAGGGACTAGGTTCCTCCACTGCCTCGACATGGTTCACGCGACGGGGTGGGGCCCAGTTGGGAGGGCGCTTGTTGGTGGACACACCATGGACGTCGTACCACTCATCATCTCGCTTCTTGAATCAAGTTGCCTCAGGGTGGTTGGTGCCTCCGCATTTCTGCCCCGCACGTGGGCCTTTCCTAATGATGTAGGGGCATGGGGGAAAGGAGTTGCGCCTTGGTCCCTGTTGGGAGCGGAATGGGATTCCAGGGGTGTAGCGCACAGCATTGACGGATGCTTGGGCTACAAGGTCCGTTTCGGCGGAAAGGAGAGCCGATGCGACTTTTTCGAAGGTGAGTTCCTTGGTGGGAAGTTGCTTGAGCATGGAGCTGGTGACATTGTAGGCCGGGGTCAGTCCTACAAGTAGGCCAGCTGCAGGTGCCTGTTCGGGGAAAATGATCCCAATGTCCTTGAGTTCCTCATGGATGTTGCGGATTTCAGAGATGTAATCTGCCATGCCAGGGCATTCCTCAAGGCGGACCTGGAACACTCGAGGGATGAGGATGGCAACACCCACTGCTGTCTTGTCATGGAAACGGTCCTGGAGATACTTCCAAATCGCAAGAGCGGAGCGAAAGGTGCGGTAGGATTTGACGAGCTCAACCGGAGTGGTGGTGATGAAAACCCTAATAACTGCTGCATCTGCCTGCTCCCACACACTGAAATCAGTCTCGTACTTGGTGGTCTGAGCGTCAAAAGCGGCCTTTCTCTGCGGCAGTGGCGCCTTCGCCAAGGGGATCGGGAGGGAGAGGCATCTTTCCATTGCCGCGGTTGAGGAGGATGTCCTTGAGGCAAATCCCCTTCAGTTCCGTGCTAAGGAGGTGCTTCTCCACCCCATAGCACCATTCCCCAAAGTTGGTGCTCGTGCCGTTGGGAGCGAGGTTGAGAACGATGAGGTTTCCGACTAGGGTAGAAGTTGAAGTCGCCATTCGCGCGGAGCGCAGCGCTAAAGTCAACGATACGAAGCGGAGCGAAGCGAAGCGAAAATGTGCGATTTCGGCAATAAGATTGCGATTCCTGTTCTGCTTCTCTGCTTCGCCGATGACCCCTTTTCTGCTGCGCCGATGACCTGTTCCGCTGCGCCGCTGACCTGTGCTGCTGCGCTGCTGAACCTGCTCTGCTGCGCCGCTCACCTGCTCTGCTGCGCCGCTAAACCTGCTCTGCTGCGGCGCTGACCTGCTCTGCTGCGCCGCTGAACCTGCTCTGCTGCGCCGCTGAACTTGCTCTGCTGCGCCGCTGGACCTGCTCTGCTGCGCCACTGAACCTGCTCTGCTGCGCCGCTGAACCTGCTCTGCTGCGCCGCTGAACCTGCTCTGCTGCGCCGCTGAACCTGCTCTGCTGCGCCGCTGAACCTGCTCTGCTGCGTCGCTGAACCTGCTCTGCTGCACCGATGAAAACCTGCTGGAAGTTTCGAATGTGAGAAAATTGCCACGGAAATTTGAAATTTCAGAGCTTACGATGAAGGAAATTGATGGAGAAATGTGCCGCCGTTGAAATCGGAAATGCACGTAGACGGAGCGGGAAAGCGCTTTTGACCAGTGCGACGATGTGAAGACGAAAAACGCTAAGCGAAGAAGGCGTGAACCGAGAACGCCATAGCCGAGAGGAAGAGAATGATCGCGACGCCAAGGATGGGATTCCGCGTGAGCGGAATTTGCTAGCTCTGATACCATGATAGTAATGGAGCTCAACTGATTGATTAGGACAGAAGGCACTAGGCCTTAAGTACAAACGAGGTTGGGATGGGCAAGGCTAGGGAAAGGATGGGATGGGAATCCTAGCAAATCTCCAATTGGTGAGTTGGCAGATTTGCAGGATTACGAGGGAATCCCAACCAGATAGGGTTGGGATCACAAACTACACCCAACCCACCTACGCGATATAGAATATAGTACACAAAGTGTTGACAGCCTAATTCTAACACGTCCTTCCTTCAAATTCCAAAACTCCCAGCTCCGTCTCACTTCCCTCCTCTCCCCCTCACTGCCTTCCCCTCCCGCCACTCCTCCCGTCCAATCCCCCAATCAGCCGGCGGCAGCAGCAGGTGCAGCAGGAGCGCGCAGCCATAGCCAGGCACATGAAGCGCCAACTATCCCCCACACACCGCCTCTCCCTCTTCCTCCTCTGGGGGATCAACCCTGCCTCTCGCCACCGCTGCTCCCAGCTCGCCCATTCCATCTGGCCCCCCCCTCCCCCTCCCCCTCTATCTTCCCCTTCTCCTCCTTCTCCCGCTCCCCCTCTGCCTCCTCGTCGCCCTCCGCTTGCTTTCGCGTCACCCTCTGCTGCACCTGCTGCAGCAGCCCCTAACCCAGCTGCATCACCTACATCTGCTGCTGTGACTGTGACTGGGACTGGGACTGGGACCACATTGACGGTGGCCCGTGCGTGCATTCACACGGCACATGCCAGTGCACGCGTGGTAGCAGCATGTCTCTTCCACCCACCCACGCCAACACCTCCCGCGCCCTCCCAGCTTGCTACCGCTGCTCACGCACAAGCCCGGCCTCCATCATCCCTTGTCCCTGCTGCTGATCCTAGCATGGGCAACAACACCTCCCGTGCAGCAGATGCTGATCGCAGTGCGAGCGGAAACAGCAGCAGCAGCAGCAGCAGCAGCAGCAGCAGCAGCAGCAGGAGAAGGCGTGGTGGTGCTGCCAGTGCGAGCAGCAGCACATGTCATGACGACGCACCCCTGGCACGGGGTTTCGTACCAGCGGGCTCGAGTCATGCTAAGCTTCGTGGCTCTACACCTGTTCCAACCAGTGGCAGTCACGGTGCGTGCTTGGGAGGGCTGCTAGGGCTGGTGCAAAGTGAGGGGATTGACAGAGTTGCTACGACAGCATGAAACAAAGCACGGGAGCAAGAAGCCACAGTAGCTCCGCACTGCTTATACATATAATCACTTTGTCAAACGCTCTCCCCATCTCGTTAGCTTTGTCTTTGTGTTTCTCGTTCAATCCCCCGTTTTTCTTTTTCCTTCTTGTGTTCCCTTCCGCGCCCACTGGTATTTCTTCTTCCGCCAGACCAACCACCCTCTCTCTCACACTACCATCTATGTAACCTCCCCTGCGTCTCAGGCCAGCACATACATTGGGTTTCTAGTCGACTCAAAATCCACCTATCTGACCCCACCCTCTCAGACTAGCACAGGCAATCAGTTGAAGCTGGGAGAGGAAAAGAGCTTCTTCCCACCAACCCCTCTTGCTTTTCTGCTTTCTCCCTCCTCTCTCTACTCCTCCATCTTTCCTCCTTCCCTTCTCCATGCCAGCACACGCAGTGGCTCTAGGACTGGCGGGCAGGCTAGTTTTGAGGCGCCTCAAAACCACACGCAGTGGTTCTAAGACTGGTGGAGGAGAAGGTATTTCGGGTTACAATTACTTTCAAGTCAACCCTTCCTGATTGCTCACTCCCTCTTCTCCTCTCCCTTCCTCTCCTCTCCCCCCCTCTCCTCCCCTTTCATCTCCTCCCCCCTCCTCTTCTCTCCCCTCCTCTCATCTCCTCACCTCTCCTCTCCCCTCCTCTCCTCTCCCCCTACCCCCCCTCTCAGTGGCAGCAGAGGTGCAAGAGCTGAGACTGGTGGAGGAAAGGAGTTGTTTCGTTCGACTTACTTCACCTTCTCCCCCTCTCTCCTCCTCTCCCCTCCTACCCCTCTCAGTGGCAGCAGAGGCTAGAGCTGAGACTGGTGGAGGTAAGAAGTCCTTCCATTCGCCTTACTTCTCCTTCTTTCCTATTCCCACATCCTCTCCCCGTCCCCCTCTCTCCCCCTCTCTCCCCCTCTCTCCCCTCTCTCCTCTCCCCTCCTACCCTCACAGTGGCAGCAGAGGCGCTAGAGCTGAGACTGGTGGAGGGAGGGCCGCAGGGGCATTGGGGAGGCGCAACTGAGACGGGGAGCCGGGGCAAGGGCAGGGGCAGAGGGGGAGTGGCCGGGTGGAGGTGGTGGGTGGGGAAGGGCGCTTCTGTGAGGCCTGACCCTGATTCTTGGTGACTGGTTAGGTGGAGGCTGGGAGGAGAGAGAGGGAGAGGGACGAGGCACAGTTGAGTGGGAAGCAGAGGCAAGACCAGGGGCAGCGGAGGAGTGGCAAGGTGGAGGTGGTGGATTGGGAAGGGCGCTTTTGTGAGACCTGACCCTGATGCTGCGTGACGGGGCAGGTGGAGGTTTGGAGGAGAGAGGGAGAGGAACGAGGGGATGGGGCAAGAGAAGGGGGGGTACGGGAGCAAAGGTGCTGGAGAGGAGGCTGGGATAGAAGAGAAGGGAGGAGTGGAGATAAGGGAAGAGAAGGGAGAAGGATGAGGAAGGATGCGGTGAGGTGAGGGTGGTTCCAGTGTCTGTCAGTCTGTTACTGAGGGAGCAATAAGATGATACTGTAGTATGGTAATAAACTGTTGTTGCAGCTGCTGCTGAGAGAGCCAGGTATGATATTGCAACTTATGAGTGGGATGGGATGGAACGGGACAGGAGGGATCAGATGAAAGGACCTTGCGAAAAAAAAAAAAAAAAACAGATGTGTCATGGACAATTGACTGGTGATACGGTAGCAGGGAAGATATACCATGTAGCATGCTGGTAGTTACCATGCAGAGGTACTGTAAATACGATTGTTGCGGATGGATTATATGTAACTAGAAGCTGAAGTTGGAGGGCCGGATGTGGAGAGAAGCCTTAGGGCGTATTCCTATCCTCCTATCAATCTGACCTCCTATCAAGCTCACACTGAAAAATCCCCTAAACCCGAAACCTCTCGCTACTTTTTGTTGCAAACAATCGGTCCTAAGCGCTTCTGTCGTGTCGAAACACTAAGGCACGAGCGAAGCAAAGCATATTGAGGCACCAGCGAGTCAACCCTCGGAGGTTGAAGTAACCGCTGGAGGTTACGCGAAAGTCAAAGGTCAGCGACCTTTGACCTGACAAATACAGCGCGACAGCAAGGAAACACAACTGACTCGTTACAGAGCAGTTGCCCGAGTCGTCACTGTATCGAACCGGAACAGTAACATTAAAGTAGTTATAACTGTGTCTTTTCATATTCCCTGTATTCATACATATTCTTGTATCTCCTTGTTTTAATCAACTTACTTTGCCCTCACATACTAGCGCAAGGTGGTTCACAACTCTTTATTAACGCTTCCGCTACTACACCAACTCTACCCAGAGTTCACCCCTGCAAAGATCCTAAGGCCTTTTTCAGCCCAACATGGTATGAGAGCTATCAGGGGGAATTCAACTTCTATACCAACAGTACCGTATTCTCCCGGACATAACACCCTAGGGTATAGCTAAAAATACAGGGAAAAAATGGGGGGGGTCTCCTCATAGGAAAAAAATACATAATACCCGGGTCTTTACATATGGCATATTTTAGTGTTAGTGTTTTTTTAATTAGTCAATGTGGGTGTTTTGCTGGTCATTTTAGCATCACTGCCTGAGGCGCGAATGTCAGTTTCGGCCTCGAACTTCATCGCCCTCACGAAAATGCCATGTGACACCTCTCTTGCCACTTGCAACGGAAGATTCACCTGCACGTGGCAACAGAGAAATAGTGGGAGGGGGCAAATCTCGGCAGATTGCCTATGAATGTACCGCGAAATTTCATTGAGGGAGAAATTCACACGATATTCTTCCGTATTGCAGCTACTCGTTAACGACTATAATAATGAATCCGTAAGAAAACGGGGGTGTTATAGAAAATCAGCCAAAAGGGGGGGTATAGTAAAAACGAGGTCTATCATAACACCCACCCCGCACAAGCTACCCGGGGGTGTACAATTATGGGGGGGTGTTTTGTCCGGGAGTATACGGTATAAATCAGCATGGCTACACAAAAGGAAAGGAGCAACTCCAACGGCTCCCAGGGCACTACTCCTACTCCACCTCCTGCCTCTGGCCTACAGACAAAGGAGGGCACGGCAACAAGACCCAGAGGAACATCTACCGAGACTCCCGCGAATCAACCTGCAGACTTCGACCAGAGCATGATGGAGAAGTTTTTCTCCTTCATGTCCTTCTACGAGCAACACCAGCAATCGGCACCTGTGCAGTCACACAACAACAACAACAACGGAGCAACACCCATGAGTCTCGACGGCTCATCATATGCACGAGGAAATCAGCAACATCAGCCTACCTTTGCTCCGTACGAGCGCGGGTCCATCAACTTCATGCCACACCCACAGCCCTCACCTGGACAAGAAAAACCACTGGACGCATTACAAGTTCAGTCGCAGTTCGCACACGTTCTGAAGATGCAGACATCAAGACCCTTTGATGGAAAGGACTTCTTCACCTGGTCGTTCGAGTTTGAGCTGATGATGGAAGGCGCGCAGATACTCGGGTTCTTCGACGGGTCTCTGCCATATCCAACAAACGGCATACAGTACGAGAAGCAGCAGTACACCTATCAGTCAATGATGGCGTACACGATCCTACTGAGGAACATCACCCCGACTCAACAGCAGAACATAAGGACTTACCGAGGTTACGGCTTCTCCGCGGTTCTCGCGTACAACCACCTAAAGAGCCTGTATCAAGCAACAGACAGCGTAAGTCAAAGTCGGTTAATGGCGCAACTGACAACGGTTGAAATGAAACCAGGGGAAAAAGGAATGGCATATATCAGTCGATCTCGCGAGTTGCGCGACAAGCTTCTTCGATGCGGAGGGTCGATATCTGAAGACGCCTTCGTGACAGTCATCATCGGTGGCCTCGGTCCTCAATGGCGCGCCACAAAGGCCATTCTCCGAGCTCACGGAAGAATCTCCGAAGCAGCGCTCTGCGCCGAAATCCACGCCGAGCAGCAAGACATGGACCTGCAAGAAGAACGACAAAAAAAGAAGACATAAGCACCGGAATTCGCGTTCCACACCCAGCGACACTACAACAACAACAACAACCGGCAGCAACAACCGAAGCCAGTACCTCCGTTCTGCCACATCTGCAAAACTTCAGGACACCCGCGTACACACTGCCCGAATCGTCAACAGTCAACAACCCCACAGCGGCAACTTCGACCTTCAAGCAGCCAAATCGCCTCAACGCAAGTAAATCCCACGACTCAGATTCAAGCTTCAACGATCTCAACAGGACAACCCGCACAAGGAGCAAGAAACATCGTCAGCTGCATTGTAAAGCTGAGTGTCTCCTGCATCACCGAGTCACCACCACACTACTCACCGGAAGAACAACTCGACGAAACTACACCCCGCCGCGAGTCACTTCAGCCGAACCAGACATACGCCGCCATCGCCCAAAGCGAACCATCCGGAAGGGACACATGGTTCTTGGACAGTTGCTGCGGACATCACATGTGCTCCTCGGGACGCTTCGTTCAACAAGAACACCAACTTCAACGCGAAGTTGTCATTACAGTCGCCAACAATCAGAACCTGCGAACACGACGACAAGGCGTAGTTCAACTTCAGTCAAGGGAAACAAACGTCATACTGCAGATGTCAAAAGTACTAATCGCGGAGGGACTCGGCTACAACTTACTGAGCGTCAATCAGCTAATGGCGAAGGGGATTCACCTCGAAGCAGACAGCACCACCCAAGAATTCAAGCTATATCACGGGAGAGGAGGACTCTACATCGGCAAGGCGGTCCTCAAGAACAACGTCTTCGTTCTTGATTTCGTTCCTGACCTTGGCACCGCCGACAGCGGCGCCATCGTTAACTTCACCGGCTGGACACATCCTCCAGACCTCGATCTAGACTTCAGTCCAGAAGGCTTCTGGTATTCACACACCATCCCTGAAGCAGAAAGAACAAGGGCGTTAGCAACAATTCAGACAACATCAGCAGCAGCAGAGGCAACATCGTCAGCAGCAGAAACAACATCGGCAGCAGCAGAAACAACATCGGCAGCAGCAGAGACAACATCGGCAGCAGCAGAGACAACATCGGCAGGAGCAGAGATAACATCGGCAGAACCATCAACGGCAGCAGCAGGAACGTCAACACCAATTGCTGGTCCTTCAATGACACCGCTCCTCATCGACGACACACCACCGACACCAGCGCAACAACTACACCCAGCACCACGAGAAGTTCATCGTAGCGCCAACTTCACCACCAACTTCTACTCCAACTCCGATATGTACCGACGATCACCCGGACATCGCGCCGACGAAAGCACCTGGCACGCAAGGATGGGACACCCAAGCAACACAGTATTAAACAATACGATAAGAGCAGGAGTAATCGACAAGGACTCACTCCTACTGACCGACGGACGAGAACTTCAACGAGTACGCGGAACGTGCTTCACCTGCCCCGAAGGTGACTTACCACATTGACCGTTTACGCCTCATCACAAACCGAGCGCACCCGCGTACGCACCACTCGAGAAGGTGTATAGCGACATCCTGTTCAATCGGGAACCAGGACAAGTAACATACAACTACACGATCACCTTCATCGACGCCGCCACCCGTTACGTCCGGCACCTAAACCTCCCTAGCCGCGACATGGCATTTGCAGGCTTTATTGCCTGGCTACCAGTAGCAGAGAGAGAATCGGGCGTGCAACTGAAAAGCTTCCAGTCAGACGGAGGAGGAGAATACACCTCTCAGCGATTCAAGCAGTACCTGGCGGAAAGGGGAATCAAGCAGCTCATCTCCCTTCCCTACGCCCATCAGCAGCAAGGAGTAGCAGAAAGAATGAACAGGACCCTGCAGAACAGCATGCGCAAACTGTTACGTGGCATGCGGCTACCCAACCACCAATGGCCTGCAGCAATGGACCACGCCGTCATGCTGCACAACTTGCTGTCGTCATCATCGCTTCCGAACAAAGCATCACCGCATCTGCTATGGACAGGGAAACAGGGCAGCACAAAAATGTTACGAGTATTCGGATGCATGGTACAGTACCGACCCCCAGCAGCACGAGCGGATCGATTTTCTCAACGAGCACAGTGGGGACTACATCTGGGAATCAAAAAGAACTACAACGCGTGGAAAATCTTCGACGTCCACTCCAAGGAAACAGTAGCAGCACGTGACGTAATTTTCTACGAACGATTCACGCTCCAGACATACCTTGCCAACAAGCAAGAAGACGAAGATCCCACTGGTGGTTTTCGTGGTGACCGAGCCTTCGCCTCAGCAGTGGACGAAGCTGACTGGGACGA